CAACATCGAAGGAAGCGATTGTTGGGTCAAGTTCACATACATATGGTAGTGCCAAGGCGGGTTGCAATGGAGATGTGAACAACTGGTGTCCAGAGGAACTCAGAGTGAGGGGAAGAAGAGGGTGTCACAGCGTATGCCAGATCTTTAAGTCGCGATAATATTGTCACGGTCGTGGGTTCAACACGCCTTCAAAATGCAAACCTACAAATTACACAAGTGCATTTGAGGAGGCATGCCCGAGATCTCACATCCTACCCTATAGTGAAGATATAAAGACCAAGACTTTTACATGTAAAGGTGCGGATTACACCGTTAGGTTTTGTTCGTCTGTCGGAACATTTTCTACGATTCGACCCGGTAGCCAACTCAGGTCAACTGACAGACTTATTTCCCCTAATGGCGATTTCGTGGCAGGTTTCTATGGAGAAAGAAATAGATTTTTGGGGATTTGGTGCAACAATGATGAAAGTATGAAGGTGTGGATAGCTGATATATTTGGGTTAAACATACCCACCTCAAGCGACCATAACCTCGTCGTCAATACCTACACCAGGGACTTGATCATCACTGCAGGTGGGAAAACTGTATATAATATCACTGATCTTCAAATGGGTCCACAGCCAAATGTGACGCCAGCCTTCACCAAAGATGGTTATATTCTTTCGATTAACACAAACAAAACAGTTTTGTGGAAGACTTCATTTATCACAATCATTCTACTTGGTAAGTACTTGTAGTTGATTTATGATAATACGGAATATGGCCTCCAAATCTACACCAATTAATGAGAGCAGGAAAAATAATTTGATTTCTATTGGCATTCGGTTTTTCTTTTGTTATTGTTTTTCTTACCGTTAAACTCTATCGTCAACTAGAAGGTATGCCATTTCAATTATTCCTTTGGTGTGCGTGAGGTTTTTATAGTTATTTCACTCTCTAAGCCATAAATTGGATTATTATAGGGAAGCAAGAAATTAGGATGAAGAACTGCATTTTAAAGGAAACAAATATTAGATGGTTCACCCGTGATTCTATCTCGGCTGCAACTGATTCTTTTTCAGATCAAAATAATACCGGAGAAGGTGGCTTCGGTCTTGTATATAGGGTACTTTTTACTTTTTATACGAGTCTTGTTTTTTTTGGAACTGGTAAACGATATGTTTTGTGCTTGTGGGAAGGGAAGTCTTGATGGAAACGAAATTGTTGTGAAAATGCTTTGTCCAAAGTCATCTCAAGGGATTAAGGAATTTGAGCATGAAATAAAAGCAATAGTCAACGCCAAACATACAAATGTTGTGTCGGTAAAGGGTTATTGTATTCATGGAAAAGAGTTGATGTTAGTGTATGAATATATGCACAACATGGGACTTGTGTACCATCTCCATGGTAAGAAAAGATATTAAACTAATTATCTATGATTAGATAAATCGCGATACGACTCTCTCTAATTTGCTAAACCATTTGTGTAGATGATGGTAGGAGGGGGGCGATAAATTAGGCGATACGAAAGAACATCATTTAAATGGTTGCAAAAGGCTTATTAAATATTCACCAGGATTCTACTAAGTATATCATTCATAGATATCTCAAGCCCGAGAATATCTTGTTAGATGGAAATATGAATGCAAAAATCTGTTATTTTGGATTAGCCGAGATTTTGGATCTAAATGAGATCGAGGCAAGGGCAAACAACCTGGATGGGACATCGTAAGAACACATTCTCATTTTCTAGATCTATTTCATACGCCAATGTCACTTTATTTTTTTGAATGTCTATAAAAGTTAGTTAAAATTTTAGTTAGATTTCTGATTATCATTGTTAGAAATAGTTGATGATATTGACATAAATAAATATCCAAAATGCCACGTACAACATTGATAGGGGTGAGGTCATCATTACTTTTAAGCTTCAAAGTTAAAACCATCCATAGGTGTGGGATGTCATTATTTTAAGTTTAAAAACTATATTGAATCTATGTACATATATACACAAAGCGTACCAAGCTCCGGAATATAGGAATGATCATATCTACTCGACCAAATCTGATCTTTATATCTTTGGAGTCATAATGCTTGAAATACTTGGTGGAAAACTTGCAACCAGCCCTTATTTTCGTAACAACGCCCTAGAAAATTATGTAAGTTAAGTTTAAATATAATTTTTATACATATGTTGTATTTGAAAAATAATTCATCCGACATCATTTTATGATTGAATTTTGAAAATGGTTTTAGGCATGAGATCTATGGAAACAAGGACAAAAAGAGAACTTGAAGGATCCGCTGCTACAACTAAATGATGAACGTGAATAAGTTGAATTGTCAAGGTTTAAAGTTATATCATACCTTTCAATCAACAAAAATCGAACGAAAAACCAACAACGTCTGATATCTATCGATTTCTTACCAATGACGTGGTATTACCCGAACCAATGGTACCATATTATCTTGACAAATCCCCCGACAGATCATCCCATCCTCAGGAAAATGTACCCGACAGATCCTTTCCTCAGTCATATGTGCCTGAAGCTAGTGGTATCAACCCCCAAGGATCCGTATCTGTTAAGCTTCAACCGTATACTAGAGGAGAAATTGAAAGTGAAGACAAAGGCATTTTGATGAGAGAACCATAATATTAGCAATTTATCCGAGAAAAACACATTCTCATTAGAAAACATGTATTAATTCTAAGGCCAGTCAAACATATTTCGATCCCTAAGATTTTTTTGTACAAAAATCTTAGGGATCAAAATATGCTTGACTAGGCTTTGAATTAATATATGTTTTCTGATGAGAATGTGTTTTTCTCGGATAAATTGCTAGTATTATGGTTCTCTCATCAGAATGCGTTCGTCTTCGACTTCACTATCAATTTCTCCTTTAGTATACGGTTGAAGCTCAATAGATACGGATCCTCGGGGGTTGATATCACTAGCTTCAAGCACATATGACTAAGGAAGGGATCTATCGGGTACATTCAGGTACATTTACCTGAGGATGGGATGATCTGTCAGGTGATTTGGCAAGATAATACTGTAACATTGGTTTGGCTAATACCACGTCATTGGTAAGAAATTGATAGATATCAGACATTGTTGATCTATCATTCGATTTTTGCTGATTGCAAAGGTATGATATATCTATAAACCTTGACAATTCAACTTCTTCACATTCATCATTTAGTTGTAGCAGCAGATCCTTCAACTTCTCTTTTTGTCCTTGTTTCCATAGATCTCATGCCTAAAACCATTTTCAAAATTCAATCATTAAATGATGTCGGATGAATTATTTTTCAAATACAACATATGTATAAAAATTATATTTAAACTTAACTTACATAATTTTGTAGAGCGTTGTTTCGAAAATAAGGGTTGGTTGCAAGTTTTCCACCAAGTATTTCAAGCATTATGACTCCAAAGCTATAGAGATCAGATTTGAATGAGTAGATATGATCATTCCTATACTCCGGAGCTTGGTACGCTTTGCGTATATATGCACAAAGACTCAATATAGTTTTTAAACTTAAAATAATGACATCCCACATCTATGGATGTTTTTAACTTTTAAGCTTTAAAAGTAATGGCGACCTCACCCATATGGATGTTGTACGTTACGTTTTGAATATTTATATATGTCAATATCATCAACTATTTCTAACAATGATAATCAGAAATCTAACTAAAAATTTAACTAACTTTTATAGACATTCAAAAAAGTAAAGTGACATTGGGCGTATGAAATAGATCTAAAAAATGAGAAGGTGTTCTTACAATGTCCCATCCTGGTTGTTTGCTCTTGCCTCGATCTCATTTAGATCCAAAATCTCGGCTAACCCAAAATCATAGATTTTTGCATCCATATTTCTATATAACAAGATATTCTAGGGCTTGAGATCTCTACGAATGATCTGCTTATTAGAATCCTGGTGAATATATAATAAGCCTCTTGTAACCGTTTGAATGATGATCTTTCGTATCGCCCAATTTGTCTCCCCCCTCCTACCATCATCTACACAAATGGTTTAGCAAATTAGACAGAGTCGTATCGAGATTTATCTGATCGTAGATAATTACTTTAATATCTTTTCTTACCATGGAGATGGTACGTCAAGACTTTTGTTGTGCATATATTCATAAACCAACATCAACTGTTTTCCATGAGCACAATAACCTTGAATCGACACAACATTTGTATCTTTGGCGTTGAGGATTGCTTTTATTTCATGCTCAAATTCCATAATCCCTTGAGATGATTTTGGACAACGTATTTTCACGGCAATTTCGTTTCCATCAAGATTTCCCTTTCCAAAAGCACAAAACATATCGCTTTGTATGGGAAGAAAAGTATGAACAGTTCCAAAAAACAAGACTCGTATAAAAACTAAAAAGTACCCTATACACACAGGACCGAAGCCACCTTCTTTGATCTTATTTTTGATCTGAAAAAGAATTCGTTGCAGCTGAGATAGAATCACGAGTGAGCCATATAATATTTGTTTCCTTTAAAATGAAGTTATTTATCCTAATTTCTTGCTTCCCTATAATAATCCTAATCATGACTTAGAGAGTGAAATAAGTATAAAAACTGCAAGCACACCTAAGGAATGGTTGAAATGACATACCTTCCAGTTGACGATAGAGTTTAACGATAAGAAAAGCAATAATAAGAGAAAAAACGAACGCCAATGGAAAAGGAATTATTTTTCCTGCTTGCTTTAGCTGGTGTTAGATTTGAAGGCCATATTCCCTATTATCATAAGTCAACTACAAGTACTTACCAGGTGGAATGATTGTGGTAAATGGAGTCTTCCACAAAATTGTTCCGTTTGTGTTGATCAAAAGCATATAACCATATTTCGTGAAGGTTGGCGTCACATTTGGATGTGGACCCATTTGAAGATCAGTGATATTATATAAAGTTTTCCCACCTGCAGTGACGATCAAGTCGCGGATGTATGTGTTGACGACGAGGTTATGGTCGCCTGAGGTGGGTATGTTTAGCCCAAATACATCGACTATCCACACCTTCATAATTTCAGCATTGTTGCGCCAAATCCCCAAAAATCCATTTCTTTCTCCATAGAAATCTGCCATGAAATCGACATTGGGGGAAACAAGTCTGTCAGTTGACCTGAGTCGGCCACCGGGTCGAATCTTAGGAAATGTTCTGACAGACGAACAAAATCTAACGGTGTAATCCACACCTTTACATGTAAAAGTCTTTATATCATCACTATAGGGGAGAATGTGAGATCTTGGGTACGCCTCCTCAAATGCACTTGTGTAATTTGTAGGTTTGCATTTTGAAGGCGTGTTAAACCCACGACCGCGAAAATATCATTGTGACTTAAAGATCTGGCATGCGTTATGACACCCTTTTCATCGCCTCGCTCTGAGTTCCTCTGGACACCAGTTATTCACATCTCCATGACAATCCGCCTTGGCACTACTATATGTATGTGAACCTGACCCACCAATCGCTTCCACAAATGCTGCCAAGTTAAAGACAAGTATGTTATGTAAACCATTGGATTGACAGTTGAGCCGAGCCACCAAATAAGAACTATTCATCGAGGCCTTAACATAGTGTGAACTGCCCTTTGGTAACAGAGGTTTACCTGAGTTGGCCACCGAGTCAGATTGTAGAAAATGTTCCGTCAGACGAACAAAACCTAACAATGTAATCCACACCTTTACATGTAAAGTCTTTGTATGATTGGAAACCTCTCATACCTCCTTAAATGTACTTTGAATCAAATGTGGAAATATGGAATTGAGATTTAGGATGGAGATTAGGAGCTGTATGATGTTGGAATTAGATTTGGAGAAACATTGTTGATCATTAATTCTTAATAAGATAAGGTAGAAATGTCATGGAAGCCATTGATGGCTTAAGGCTTGATATGGTTAATTGATGTTTTTATTTGTTTCTTATGGAATCCATCCGGCATTAAGACTTTTATGTATTAAGAAATGAATGAGTCAAAAGTTAATTTAGTAAGACTTAAAGTGGTTAAAACTTATTATGCATAAAAGCAGCAAATGGAAAAGTTTGGGAAATATAGAAGACAAGGGAGCAAAGTGCATTGCCCAAATGAGAAATAGTTGTGTTTTTTGGTTGTGTGTAGAGGGCCTACGTACTATGAGATTTGCAACAAGAAAAACAAAAGACCCATGTATTCCCGTGGATACCTTAGATGAAATCCAACCTTTTGTCATATTTTTATAGCATTTAAGCTCAAATCCCCCCCCCCCCCCCCAAAAAAAAAAACTTCCATGAAGACTAATAATAATGGTTTAAACATAAAAATAAGCCCATGAAGTTAAGAACCTTTGTAAGGGTACTTTTGTCATTTTATAACAATGACTATAATCAATAGGTGGTGATTAAGAGGCATTATAAACTAGGAAGGAGTGAGATATGAAGTTATTGAAGTGAGTTTCTATGTGGATACACATCTATACATGGTTTTATGCTTATTTTGAGAATTGTTTTTATTATAAAACTGTGTATGTTGTTTGTTGCATTATATGTACTTCTTTATGTATACATGAACAGTTAACTTTAAAAGTTTAAAGTTTTTAACAAAGAGTTTTCTAGCATGAATATGTGTGTTCATACTGAGTAGGGTTTGATTTAAGAGTTCACATGACATGGGATCATGAAATTTTACTAATGTGTGTGTGTTGTAAAGTGCTACGGTAAGATCGTTAGTAGGGCTGTAAACGAACCGAACGTTCAACGAAACCTTCGTAAACCGTTCGGCGGTAAGTTCATTTATGTTCGTTTATTTAATAAATGAACGAACATGAACACAAATTCTCGTTCGTTTAGTTAAACGAACGAACATGAACAATGGTCTCATTCGTTCATTTATGTTCACGAACGTTCGTTTATGTTGTTCATTTACGTTCATTTATGTTCGTTCATTTATGTTCGTTCATTTAATTTTATTTATGTTCATATATGTTCAATTGTTTTTTATTACATTACTATATTATGTGTTTGTTTATGGTCATATATGTTCAATTGTGTTTGTTTATCTTTATTCATTTATGTTCATTCGTTTATTTTATTTAGCTTGTTCACGAACATAAACGAACGAACATGAACAATGTAATTTGTTAAATGGACCAACATGAACAAAAAAACTCGTTCTCTTATCTGTTCGTGTTCGTTCATTAGTTCGGCTAACTTAAACGAACAAACACGAAAAAACCCTTGTTCGTATTTGTTCGGTTCATTACAACCCTAATCGTTAGGATTTTATGAGCAAGAGGTCGTGTATGTATAACGTAAAAGACTGCAATGAGTTCATTGGGATAGACAAGAGAATTTGGGTTACCATACGGTGAGCCCTTTTAGGCAAGTGGATGTTAGTACATCACATATTGAGTATGGGGTTTTTAACATTGTATATATGTATATATGTATGTATGTAACCATGAAATCTTTCCATTTTTTAATGAAATAATAAACCTGTTAACAACCAAGACAACAATCTCAACTAATTAAGCATTATAACTAACAAAAAACCCCAAATAAAAACCCAAACTAATTATAAGTTAAATGTAGCAAAAATCTCAACTATTTGAAAATTAAAACAAACTCTAACAAAAACCCAATTCACATTCCCACTTAAACAACTAACAAACTCTAACATGGTTAAAACTAACAAATAACAACTAATACTAACAATATATAAATTAGGGGTGTTCGTTTGGATGGATCAGTTTGATCTGATCCAATCAAGTGATTCCAAATTGATTTCAGTTTTCAAAACATGGATCCGAATAGTCCAAACTAAATTTAAATCCGATCCGATCCGATACAATTACAATTCGGTTGGATCGGTTTTTATAATTCGTTGTTCAAAAACCGAAACATTTTTAAACGACAAATAATTATAATATTACTAAACTTTACACAAGAAGCAAAAACAAATTACTTAGTTGTGATTTGAAATTTATAAACAACTAATAAGAAGATATATTATAGTTAAATATTTTATAGATATAAATTTTTTGATTGAAAATGCATATTAATGTTTTTTTAACGGGTGAAACGTTTCTATTTGAAAATATAAATTACAAAATTAATAAATAACTATAGATATATATTATAAATAAATAAATAATAAATGTTTATTCAGTTTTATTGGACTATTCGGTTCTTATTTTATAAACCAAAATCAATCTGAAATCCAAAATAATAATTCGGTTTTCTTGAAAACCAATCCAAAAATTCGAATATCCGAACCAAATAGTCCAATCCAAATTGTCCAATTGGATGATTCGGTTTTATCCGAATAATGAACACTCCTAATAGAAATAAGGGAAAACTGCAATAAAGTCCTTACATATTGGTCTCATAACCGATTTAGTCCTTATATTTTTTTATTCAATTAAGTCCAAATACCGGTAATCTTATTCAATTTAACCCCTTGACCCGGTCAACAAGTCACCCAACTTTCAAAAATTACATTGTTGGCCCAGATATTACAAATTTGGTCCAAAATTTACATTTTTCGCCCAGATTTTAAATTTTGTTACAAATTTGGTCCAAATTTTAGAATTTTATTATGAATTCCTCCTAACTTTAGTTTTTTTACAACTTTTTTTTTTCTCAAAAAATTGTTTCTAACATGTTTTTTCTTTATAAACTCATATTTATACAAAAAAAAAACATATTTTCACATAAAAATCTTATATGAAATGTCTTCTTATAAAAATAGGTTTGGATTATATGTGTGATTTCTCTTAAAAAATCAATTATCAAATTAAAAGTAACCCTAAATTATACTTTTAAATTATAGTTTGTCAAACTCATGTGTAAATTCTATAGAACTTTAATTAAAGTATTCTATTGTGTTATTGATATTTATGATATTTTATATATTGATGTTGTTATTGTGTTTTTGGTCATTTCTCACTCCCCTAAAAACATGTTTATCGATAATAAATTGCAACCGATATTCCATATAATAGACATTAAAAAAGAAAAGAAATACAAGATTATAAACAATCCAAGTAAGAAGAGGTTGATTGGCAATAAAAAATCACAACCTAGATCGGACACGTGCCATGAATGGATATGTTTTATTTAGATAATATATTTATTAAAAAATATATCAAAGTTATGATTTTAACTTTTTTCTTAAAAAAATTCTTACGAATAAAATATAATATTAATATATTATATATATTTTAATTCATATATAATGTAATTTTATTTTTTAGGTTGTTGATCAATAGTAAAAGATATTTAGATTGGTTGGTAGTATAAGTTATATTATTAAAAAAAAAATTTATATAAGATTAGATTATGATCAAATGCTAACAAATATATTTATTTAATTCCATGGTGTAAATATGGTAATTGAGGTTTAACAAATTTTATTTAATTCAAAATAAATAAAACAGTTAAAAGGATATATAATGTAATGAAAATATAAGATTTTTATGTGAAAATATATTATTTTTTGTATAAATATGAGTTTATAAAGAAAAAACATATTAGAAACATATATTTGAGAAAAAGTTGTAAAAAAAACTAAAGTTAGGATGAATTCATAATAAAATTCTAAAATTTGGGCAAAAAGGGTAATTTTTGGACCAAATTTGTAACAAAATTTAAAATTTAGGCCAAAAGTGTAAATTTTGGACCAAATTTGTAATAAAATTTGAAATCTGGGCGAAAAATGTTATTTTTGAAAGTTGGATGACCTGTTGGCCGGGTCAAAGGGTTAAATTGAATACGATTACTGGTATTTGGGACTTAATTGAATAAAAAGAAAATATAGGGACTAAATCGATTATGAGACCAATATGTAATGACTTTATTGCAGTTTTTCCTAGAAATAACAAATAATAATAATATTTATTTCTTTACTTCAAGAATTAATTATAAAAATTCAAATAAATGTGACAACAAATATAAGTTAATGGTGAATTCTAGAACCGAACCGGAAACCGCAAGGTGCGGTGCGGTTTGGTGCGGTTTTAAGGCCAAACCGAACCGGAAACCGCAAGGTGCGGTTTTTAAATTCTAGAAACCGTTGGGTGTGGTTTTTTAATGGTTCGGTTTTGCGGTTTCTGAGTGCGGTTTCGGTTTGTACTGGTTCGGTGTCGGTTTTAAACCGATTCAAACATATGGTGCGGTTTTTTATGCTTACTGGTACGATTTTTTTTTAACCATGGTGTTCATGTGAAGATTTATGATTGTATGACATGCTATCATTTCGTTTCCTCACATTTAGAAGCTGTAATTTTGAGTTTTTTTATGTTGTTTATTTGATCACTTCATTTGCAACCTATATTCTGAAACTCATTTTTCTATTCAATTTGTACTTAGAAGTTACAAGCTTGCAAGTTGTAGTCCACATAGTGTTTACATATTAAACCTAATATCTAATTACTAATTACCGTCAAGTTTAATATATAATATATGTATAAATTAGAATTTATTAGTTTTTTAAATAATATGTATAATTGTATAATATAAATTAGTGATTTATTTTATTGTTAATAAGCTTGCGGTGTGGTTCGGTTTTGGTGCTCCGGTTTCAAGA